CTTTATACTTGCTTGCAATGAACTGCATTTGCCATTCTGATGCTCATTCTCACAGCTTGGATTGATCCCTTTGGAGCTCCTCACAATCCATTCTGGGTTTTGCTATCCTAAATGGTTTGGTCTCAACAGCAAACTTGGCTACTTCACTACCCACTCTTAATTCTAGATCATTTATGAATAGGTTGAAAAACATTGGTCCCAGTGCAGAACCCTGTGGAACTCCACTGGTGATATCTCTCCATTGGAAGAAGTTGCCTTTATTCCCACCCTCTGTCCTCTGTTCTTTAACCAGTTAGTGATCCATAAGAGCCCCGCCATACACAGCTCCTGTATTCCATGACTGCTTCATTTGCTCCAGAGCCTTTGGTCAGGGATGTTGTCAAAAGCCCTTTAGAAGTCCAAGTAAACAACGTTTACTGTATCATCCCTGTCTACTTGCCTATTGTCACTCTCAAAGAATTCCAATAGGTTAGTGAAACAGGACTTCCCTTTGTTGGTTTTGGTGAGTGGTATTTGTGGTGCTGCAGGCAGCTTTCTGTTATTTGATTCTAGTTCTATAATAATAACATCTTTTAAACAAAGTAATGTTCCAACAAAAGTATCCCATTTCTGATTTCCCAGAGCTTTAAGCATTCTATTTTCTTCCCTTTCTGATACTTTCTCCTTTCACACTTGCTTTTCCCTGAACAAAGGAGTTGGAACATACCATTTTCCTTATCTGACACCATCAATCTGCATCCTCCATGATGCCATTCATCACATCTCCCGTGACTTTGGGAAATGGTTCTAAGCTGACAAGTGGCCTACATAATGGGGTAGATCCAGAAAGTGACTTTGACCTCCTAATATAGTTTTGCTTTCATTAAAATGCAGGTGTTGCTGGATAACTCACCTTCTGTAAAGCAGGAACTATGAGACATGAATGATATTGCCAGGGAAAATTGCCTGTGTTTAAACCTTGAAGGCCTCTTCTGGTGCTGTTGGGAAATAATGTGCAGTATTAGGTTCTCTGACATGCAGGCAGCATAACATTTTTGGATCGCCCAGGCACTGTCTAAATATGTGAGAATTACAGGTCTTGCATATTGTACTTCAGGCTCTAGCCTTTGCTTCTTCCCAGCCTGCAAGCCTAAGGTGTGTCCCTGGTGAAGTAGGCATTGGGACACAGGGTGCTGAAATGGACCAGTGGGCCATCCAACTTTGTATTGTCTGCAGGGGCACCCCATGGGCTCAAGCAAGACTCTTTCCCTGCCTGAAATCACACCTGGAGATGCCGGGGCCAACTTGGGATCTCCCATGTGCACAGTATGTGTTTTACTCTGCCTCTGAGAAGTGAGGGGGATAATGTGCACTCATGACAGATTTTAAGCAGTCGTGGTGGCTTTACAAGTTGGGCAGTGGGGGGCGGGAGACACCTCTAGGCAGAGAATTGTCCACTGTAAACACTTGCCCACCTAACACCTGAATTTGGAGGTGCCTGATTAACAGTCACTTCAGTGAGGAGATTACTTAATTTAAAAACTATGGAATTTCCTTGTGGTTTTTGGCAGCTTTTTGTGCATGCTGCAAAAGGGGATTCATCATTTGGGCAAAATGAGATTGAGTTTAGGTAGTGCTGCAACATAAACGTGAATGTCCTATCAGATAATACCATGGGATCCAGAACGTGCAATAAAAAACAAGAGTGTCTGCGCTACCAACCAGTGTTCTAGATTCATCTGGTCCATTTAGCATCATGGGCCCTGCCTTGCCTGAACATAGATGGATAACAGGCCAGTTGAGGGAAAACAATCCAAGGGGGCAATCCTATGCATGAACAACGTCCTGCAAGCCCCAGCCTTCCCCAGGCAGCCTAAAACTCTTTTACATTTCTAAGTTCTGTCACTGTTCTTATAATAGTGCTGCATGTTTATGGCCAACTTCAAGACCTCTCTCTCCATTCTTACAGTTCTTTATCGTCCCTGACTTGGGTTGAATAGTCCTGCAGATAGAGGACCATCCTCTACAAAAAACGACAGACCAGTTTTTTCATTACCATTGAGTTCTACCCCAACTGTTTTGCTACTCAGTTTGTTCCAAAGGCTTGCCAAAGTGATGCTTATTAATGGCAGCGATTCCTTGAATTCTGTAGCCCACGAGGCCATTGAAGAGATTAGATTAGTCAATGCAATACTGGGAGAGATTGCTCACATTCATTCAGGATAAGACAAAAGAACAGAGACTTAGGGAGCAATCCTACAGCCCTGGGCTTATTTGGAGACCAGGCTCCAAGGTCTTGCAACCTCAGGCCTGGGACTTCAAGCACAGAGACCTCCCAAGCCCCAGCCCCCAGGCCCTGCCTTTGCAGCCAGCAGTGAAAAAAACTGGGTCAGCTGCCTCTGTGGTTGGAAAGTGAGTAAAAAGAGGAGGAAAAGAGGGGCAGCAAGCAGAGGAGATGGCTGGGGCCAAGGGCTTAAGGTGTATCCAAATGGGGCACCAGCCCTCCCCTTTCCCTCCCCTTCCATGATGCTTCATCTAGAAGCAATGCAGGGCATGTGGTGTGGTGGCACTGCCCTTCCTCACTCCATCCACTTAAGTTCAGAGGCTTATGTTCATTGAACAGGGAGGGCATTGATTGCTCCCTTAATGGTTTGGAGGAAAAAGTGTTTTCCCTCTGCTATTGGAATAGTAATTGGTTTTATTTGTACAGAAACTGGAAGATTGCTACCACATATTGAATGAGGAAGGTTCTCTCCTGCTGCTGCTACCACACCCATTTATAATTGAAGTGCAGTGAAAAGAGACGAAAGGAAAGAAAAGTCCTCTTGGGGTTTTCCCCTCCCTTCAGCTGCACAAATGAGTGCACTGCCTTCATCTTTGAGAGCCGGAGAGCAATCGCCTTTCCTCAGAGCACTGAAACCCAGCCTGGCATGCTGGTCTGGGAGAGGAGGGAACATGCTTCTTTTCCAGTTGTATTTGCAGAAAGACTGCCTGACATTTACATGTTTTGTGAAGGAGAGAAACTGAGAGCAGTCTGCTGTTAACGCTCCAGCTTGATTTTGTCTTTCCAGAGCCTTCTTTTTTGTCTCCTCTGGGAAAGCTCAAAAGTCAGAACTTAGCAAAGAGTCTTCTTTGGTAGCACTAGATGTGATCACTCAACTGGTCACTATATAAACAAATTTAGGACATAATCCTATGTATGATTAGAGGGGCAACCATCCTGGCTTGGGAGTGCTGGAACTTGTAGTCCAATGAATTTGAAGGGCACCAGGTTGGAGAAGGTTAAAATTAACAACAAGAAGAGTTGCAATGTCTAGTTGACTGGCTGCTTAGAAAGTCTGAGCAATCTAAAAACCAAGCACAACAAATTAGGAAACAAATTTTCTTTAAACATTAATTATTTTTACACAAAAATGAGAGATACCAACTTAGAAGTGGCATTTCCTCCTTTTCCCTCGTGCAGGAAGAAATGCCTTTCCTGGGATGGTACCTGATGTTGAGACATATATGCTCGTCATCCTACCAAAAATAATGCTTTTTCTTTAGAACAATAATTCTAGGTGAAGGAAAATTGGTGCATATTTAATCAATTGAATTCATATGAATAATGAACATGGATATTAGCAACTGTTGGATCTTTCATTGTGTGTTATGTGCTGTCACATCATCTCTGACTTATGGAGACCCTATGAATGAAGGCTCGCCAAAAAGTCCTGTCCATGACAGATCCATTCAGTTCCTCCAAGTTCAAGACTGTGGTTTCCTTTATGGAGCCAAGCCATCTTTTATTCAGTCTCCCCTTTCATCTTCTGCCTTCAACTTTCCCAAACATGATTATCTTCTCCAGTGAGACTTGGCTTCATTACTGCCTTATTTTTGTGCTTTGCTTCTTCTTGAACTGAAGACCTATGTTGCTGAGGCTCCAGAGAGGGTTCAAACATGATGGCCTCCAAGTGGAAACTCTAGGAATTCTGCTTGTGTATGGCAGTGGTACAGACGGGGGATATATCCTCTGAAAAAGCACACCAAGTGTGCCCCCAACATGTGGATCACGCAAATTAATAATGCTGATATCTGGTGGATATTGGCATAGAAATTTCTGGCCAGGGCAACTTATTTTATATTGTTATTTCTTGTATTTTAATTTATGTTCTGAGCTGCCCCGAGGCTTCGGCGAATGCTGGTCATGTGCTAGGGAGATTAGCATAATTATTCTTGCCAATGTTGCTTGCCATGTTGTATGAGCCAGGTTAATTTGCTGTGGTGACAAACAGCACAGAACCCCTGGGGCATTGCATGTTCTGAGTGGTTGTTTATTCCTGGTCACCCACAAGATGCACTTATTTATGCTAATTTCTCTAGCAGGTGACCAGCATAAACAGCTGGGTAAGTGGGCTACCATGGCTTATTTCCCCAGCTTCATTCATTCATTCATTCATTCATTCATTCATTCATTCATTCAGGTGAACCAGGTCAATATGTGTGGAGCACTGCTGCATGATAGGTGGATTACATGCAAGGTGAAATCAACCTTAAATTAAAATTGTTCTGGGGTATTTTCAAAACCTGGTATGCTTACAAAGATCTTTCCAACCCAGGAGGCATAGCCTGGTCCAGCAGAAAGAACTCTTCTCCTTAGGAGATATGGGGGTACACATGTCCTAACTGAAAAAAAATATACACCAATGGAGTCTAAATTAGTTATACCACTCAGGAAACACTCAAAGTGGAACATACCTGAAACTTTTCTCTGTTGTATGGCAGAGAGAGTCAAATTCAGCATTAAGAATGAATAAAAAACTGAAGTTGCATACAAGTGTCTGCTGTGGCCATACCTTGAATTCTGTGGGTCCATTTCTTCCCATTCTGAGAAAGAAGATGCAGAAACAGGTGAAATGGTTGATCTCCTTATGAACTTTGTAACTATCTTTGTATACAACAAGAGATCTTGAATATTGTGGAAGCCCCTTAATCACAGTCATAATAAGTTAAATATAACAGTTTTCCTTCTTTCTCTGCAGGTATACATTATAAAAGTAACATGGTCAGACTCAACCTGCCAGATGATATACCGCAGATACAGCAAATTCTTTGACCTCCAGGTAATGAACTGATTTTGCTTTTTCTTCTGTAGAGATAGTATGTGTGGTCTGGATTTTCTGCATTGCCTAATAGTGCCATCAAAGAACATGCAGTTTAAATGGAAGGGCTTCTGAGCGTGTTGAAAATTTTGCATTATGAAACATGATATCCAGAAATGTTTGGTAGATAGAATAGCTTTCCTGATGTTTGCTATGTATTGCTTTCACTGAAGGGCAATGGTACAGTTTGTTCCTGCTTCTTGGAAAGAGGGGATGTAGAGTATGCCTTAGGCTTATTTCAAAGAGTGTTCCTTCCTAGAGTTTGGCTTTCTGCTTTTGCTGACACTTTATTTTTGGTATGGTCTACCTCCTCTTACCAGTTGCCTTGAAGATTCACTTCCTCGAAATCTGTGCACTGGATTTATTTCTTAACCATCTCTACAATAAAGATGGGGTATAAATTTGTTGGATTCATATTTAAATCCAAGGTTACCCAATATCGTACTTTTGAACCAATACATAAGCCAAAAATCCTCTATCCTTCCAAATTCACATTTCTCTGAATTTTGCAATGGAGCTCTCCAATCAATACATGTGTAAAATGTGCATGTATTAAGAGAAAGTGCATGCAAACATGTACGTATTACTGAAAATGTATTAAAATGCACTGTATTTGGAAAATTGCTTACAAAAAGTATGTGTGTGTATGTAGAAATGCACACAAAATTATATGAACTTTCATAGACATTTTTTTAAAAAATTAAAGTTTGGGATGAACCAAATTTAAGATTGGAAAAAGGAGAAAGTGAAATTAACAGATGGTTCATCCCTATTCCAAAGCACTTAAAGTCATCTGAGTTGATCAGTTTCAGGTCAGTAATAGTGGGCTCCTTAGGGCATCCCTGTGCCCATAATGTGCCTTGAACCAGGAGCAGGCAGTCTTCAGAGTTATGGGATGAATTTTATGTTTTAAAACCTTGAGATTGACCCACTAGAGCCTACTGCAAAATAGTGACTCAGGCAAGTGGAGATAGGTAAGAATTAAGGAACACAGAGCCCAGGAATTTGTGACCCATGGCAGAAGCAAGTTTACAAATCATTCCATGCAAAAATCAACTCTTGCAAATTTTAGCAAGCTAATTTAGGTGAAGAAAACTTTTTTTAGTTGCTGCTGTTGTTAGAATGGGAATCAACAGTCCTTGTTGGTTTACTACAAATCATTTTCTGCCCTGTTCTCTCTTAAACCACAGCCAGCCAGAAATTGGGAGGAAACCACAACAAACTGAAAAATCACTACATGAATTCCAATTGCTTCTAGTCTCTTTCCTTAAAAATAGTTGGATTAACAGTGTTTGTTCTGAGTGTTTCTGCTAAACATGTAATGTTTATACAACATTCAGTGATCCTTTTGGTGTAATTATCAGGAAAGTGTTTCCTGTTGTAAAGCAACATATACAGGGATCTAATCTCCTATCATGATGCAAGCCGTGCTTCACTGCAAGGGAGAACAAGTGGAACAACAGCCACTGAAAGTCCACTCTGATCAGATACAGACCTGCCTTCATAACTGCTGCAGCGTTTTTGTGAAAGGGACCAATTACCATTGGTGAAATTAGTGGCAATATGTCCTAATCAGGTCACAGTATCTATTTCTCTCTCTATGGAAACAGGAAATAACTAAGATGTGAGTCATGAGAAAAGTGATGGAGTACCGGCTAGTGTACAGTTGGTTAGATTACAGTTGGAAGGCAACTTTGATCTCTATCAGAAGTGTGTGGTAAAGGGCTGCCGTCTGTTCAAAATTCTGACCACAGTAGTTTGCAATTGCTTCTGTAGTTGGGTGAGCGCATCAAAGGCTCATCATGAACGTGTCAGATCTATTCATCATACAAGGAACAACTTAATATAGAACAAACAATGGCCTGTTCTTTCACAGTCCATTTGGGGAGGTCCAGTGGGAAGCAGCTGTGCAAAGCTGGGAGCTGAGCAACTCCAAGTACTGTTGTTCATGGATTGCTCCGGCCATTGGCATCTCCAATAAATGTGTGTCTTTCCTTTAGGCAGTTTTTTGACCTCCAGATGACAGTGTCTTCTATGGGGTGAAGAAAACTCAGAAGCGCAAGCTCTTCTTTATATGCCCTTTGTTAAAATGGCTAGTTGGGCATGAGGAAGAAATACCTGAGCCAGTGGGTTTATCTGCGTCTGGTTGTGGCTTCCAAGCTGAGAACACCACTTTTAAATAGGACTGGCCTTTGCAGTGCAATTCATAGTCCTAGTACTTTCTTTTTGTTAAACACAAGCTATTTCCCCCAGCCCACCCCCTTGTCTGTGTTCCTGTAAATCTCCCGGACTTTCCTGTTAGGTTTGAAAAGTTCCCATCAAGCTAAAGTTATCAATGGGGTTAGTGTGTCGGACAGGAAATGATGTCTCCAATCAGGGGAGAAGGAGTCTTGAAAGGTCCCATTGATAAGTGGGACGGGAGGGGGACTTAGCATCAATGGAAAACGTCTGCCGAACAACATGCATCCTTCTGCCATTGCCACTTGAAAACACAGCAAGCATCCCTCTCCCCTGCAGCCACCCAAATACACTTTTATTCTGATCCTTTTGTCCTTTAGCTGTTTAGGTTCTGTAGTTCTCTAGGTGGTCTTGAAGGATGTTGGTGCACAGGGAACTGCAGCAGTTTTGAAAGAATTTAATGGAGGCATCCATGTTCGGCCCATGTTAAAGATGTGCCATTTACATTGGTTTGCTTAAAGCATCTGTATCCCACCTTTCTACAGTTACTCAGGGTGGCTTATGATACCAGTGAAAATATCTATGCAAACATACAGTTGATTAAGAGCACTCCAACAAATCCAGCAGTAGATGAAATGTTATCGACCTGCGGGTTGTATCCAAAGGACAATGCTCAGCATGTCATCTTGCTGACTGCTTTGTAGAGAGAGAAGGATTAGCGGAATTCCCAGGAGGGCATGCTGATGGGACACCATCTGCTTGCATCTTTCAAAATGAATTCTATAGGGAATGTTTTATTTACATCCTGGTAAAGCAACATTCCCTGAGGTCGAAACATCAGATGCTGACATGACTGGCAGAGGAATCCTAGCTCACTCTCTGAATGGGATATTGTCCTCCAGCACACCTGAGACAGCAGGCAAGTTTCGAGAACCCAAGACAGACTGTGTGGTATATACAGCTTTGTCTTACGACAGAAAGATACAATTAGAGAGCTTGTGAGGAACAGCCAGGAGGCTGCCACTGCTGCTTCCAGCATCTGCCACCTGGGAAATTGCCTTACTCTACCTTAGGGCTGGTCCTGGCCCTACCTTTCTTTAGAGGAAAACTGCAGGGCTCTGTCTGTCTGTCTGTCTGTCTGTCTGTCTGTCTGTCTATGCACCTAGCCTGGTTATTTTGTTACTGCACCTCTTTATTCCCATCACTCCCTCCTTCTGCTCCCTTAAAACTCTTCACAATGAACCAGATCTAATGGGCTTTCTTTGTTTGTTCCTAGTTTTGTAGAAGCCACTCATCTGTGAAGACAACAGATGTCCAAACATCTTTTGAAAGTTGTCTAAAACCTTCTAATTTCAGAATGCTTTTAAAGTCTTTTCTAAATCTTAATGGCTATTTTAAATTTAGCTTACCTTGTTTTGGTCAGTTTTTAGATGAACTGTATTAGTATTTTTGTTGTAACCAACTTTGCATCTTTTAAGAAAACACTATATAAATTTATTAGCAATAACAGGTTGGATTCGGGGAGAAGGATGGGTTGAAAGGTAGCCTTCCATTTGCCAATAGAAGGATTTATTCATGGGCAGAAGGACACTTTTGGATCTTTCCCTCTCTCTGGATTCAGCTGCATGCTATTACTGCATTTAGCAACTTTATTTCCTACCTCACTGCTCCATCTAGTTCTGCCTTCCCCATTCTGGTGCTCGCCAGATATTTTAGACTGTGATCCACCCCATACCCTTTGGCCATGCTGTCTGGGGAGGATGGTGGTAGTAGTCCAGCACACCTGAGCTAGATAGTGAATTGATTTTATGAGTTAGCAACTCCCTCTGGTGGTTTGGCGGGGTGGGCTGGAATGGATTTATCACAAGCTTTCACACTGTAAAATCTTGAGAAGAATGTTTATGGGAGGGCTTTTGGACAGGATAGTAATGTATAAATAAATAAAGGAAATTGCTCTTTCTTAGCTGTAGCAGTGCTCTGATACTAAAGCTCTTCTAACATGGTGATTTACCATGCAATGGATTAACATGGCCTTGTAATAAATGGGGTCTTTGGAACGTATGTTTTTCCCCATCAAGCAGTACAGGGTGTGTCTTATAGTTAAGCTTTATAGGTCTATGACATGCGGAACATTCAATCCCTGCAAGACCCTGAGCCACATGTGCCTATTTTACTGTCAGGGAGCTTGCATCATTATTTCCCATGCTGGACTTGGCACTGTCCCATTTCCGTGGGAGCTACATCCGCTATGTTGGGTTGATTTCAAATGGCCTGGAAGGAGGGGAGTGGTTTGGAGAGTCAACAGATGAGTTCAAATAGCAGTTTGGGAGAAAAATACTGGAAATCAGTGTGTTTGTTTGAAAGCTTTGTCTTGGGGGTTTTTCAGTTTAATTCTCATGACTTCTTCTTGTGCGTTATCATTAAACTGGTCAATGGATGGTGCTGAATTAGTTCCTGTCATTAGCACAGGAGTAAGGGAAGTAAAGGAAGGGAGCCTCCCCATCATGTTAGAGAAATGAATAAGGAGGCACTCCATCTGCTTTGGGCTAGCATGTGCCCATCAGTAACAACCGAGGAGAGCTAGTGTGGTGCAGTGCCTGAAGTATTAGCTGGGAACTGGGGAAATCTAAACTCCTCACCCTGGCCTGAAGCTCACTGGGTGCCCTTGGACTTTTGCTCAGCTTCATCATCTGCCTCAGAGGCCTGCTGTGTAAGGATAAAATGGGGAGGGGGCACCATGAATGTTGCCTTGGGGTCTTTGGAGGAAGGGCAGAATGCACCAA